GTACATCGATATACAGATCACACAGCCATGAGGCTATTTACATGTGGATAAAATACATCAAATAGTGACTTTGTACATGAATGAGGAAAAGATAAATTAGTCAATAAATGATACTGGGACATCACAACCAAATTTCTTACATCAAAATAAATTGTATTTAGATAAATATTTAAACATTAAATGTGAAGTCATAAAAGCAACCAGCAGAGGGAATTCTTTATAATCTTGGTGTTGGGAAGACATTTCTAAGTATGGAACAAAACCCAGATGTTACACAAGAAAAGACTGTTAAAATTCAATTTTAAAATTCTGCATGCAATAAATACCATAGATAAAGCAAAATGCAAATGGTAAAGTGGGAATAATATAATTGTATCACAGATCAAGAGTTAATTCCCTTAACTTACAAGGAGCCCCACGAAATCAATAAAAGAACAGCAACTCCAAATGAAAATGGACAAAAGATAGAGTTTACAGAAGATACAATATAGATCTTTTTTAAGCACTGGAAAAGCCCATTCCTAGACAGCTATTTCAGATCTTCTCTTCCCTCCAAAACCCAAGCTAAACTCACTGCCATCCAGACCCCAATCTTCCTTTCAAAGAGTGGCTGGTGGGTTTGAACTGCCAGCCTTCTGGTTAGTTAGTCAAATGCCTTAGGCACTACACCACCTCAGTGGATGACCTTACAGAGAAAAGTGAAGCAATCAAATGAGAAATTTCTTCTCTCACTTAACACAAGCCCACGTAGTCTGCCTTTCTGGCTATTACATATATCCTTGCTCCAGTCTTAACCAGTTTTGCCTTCTCATAGACGTCTTTCCAGAAATTCTCAGGTTTCTCATCTTTTTGTTCTCTTATATTGTTCTGACTGTAAACATCGCCTCTTCCCTCATCCTTTTCTCTTCCTGTTTGGAATCTAGATGGTAATTTCTAATCTCCATGTCTTTGTGTTTTTCTCCTAGTCTCTTTTATCTCCATGCTGCATTTGCATGATTTCCTTAGATCTCTTTTCTAGCTAGAACTCTGGCTTACACAGGTTGAGTATCTGTTTGTCTGTACAGGGAACTTTTCCCCAGATAAATGTCTAGCTTACTTGTCAGTTCCTTGGGCGATGAGATGAGGTTTAGTCATTTTACAGGAGTGCTTTTTTCCTGATTCCTCTAGCTTTCTAAGGGTAATTTAGTTTCATACCCAAGATCTGAATCCTGAACTCTCCTTTTTTTTGCAGGCATTAAATTTCTAGCCATGCAAACATGGGTATATGGATGGATAGATAGGTGGACAGGCTGAACGATTAGATATGTCTATGAAATGGGGAGTGTATCCAAGA